AGACGCAGGCTCACGACGCTCAGTAAGACCTCCAGTCGGACCAGCGTAGGGAGAAGGAGCAGGCAAAGGGGAGGCAGGCTGGAGCTGTGGCTGTGACCGGACAGGCTGCGGACCCTCTAAGGGAGGAGGAGGAGGTGTAAGACCAAGAACCTGCTGCAGGAGCGGAACGAAGTACGGTCGGGGCCGCGCGGCGACGCTAGAAACAGCAGGAACAGCACCAGCAGCCCCGGCAGGAGCACCCACTCCAGCAGCACCTCCAGCAGCACCACCAGAAGCTCCAGAACCTCCAGCAGCAGCACCAGGAGCACTGTCAGTCGGACCGCCAACGGCAGGCTCAGCGCCAACACCCTCAGCAGTACCAGCTCCAGGAGAACTCTCAGACCCAGCAGCTCCAGCACCCACAGGACGAGCACCGGCGGGACACGCGGCAGCAGTACCCTCTGCAGCCGAAGAACCACCAGCACCAGCAGCACGCCTCCAGCGCCTGGAAAACCACTCACGCAGCTCCTGTGGGGAGAGTGGCTCCCGGCGAGACGAAGCACCCCCAGGCACAGCACCCCCAGGCTCAGCACCCCCAGGCCCAGCACCCCTAAGCGCAGCACCCCCAGGCACAGCACCCCCAGGCTCGGCACCTCCAGGCTCAGCACCCCCAGGCCCAGCACCCCTAGGCACAGCACCCCCAGGCACAGCACCCCCAGGCTCGGCACCTCCAGGCTCAGCACCCCCAGGCACAGCACCCCCAGGCTCAGCACCCCCAGGCTCAGCACCCCCAGAGCCCGCACCCCCAGGCTCAGCTCCCGCAGCAGCACCAGAGTCACCAGTGACCTCGACAGGCTCGACCGCGTCTACCTGGGACACACCTGAAGGGGCAGGACCCTGAGGGGGGAGGGGGTCTACCGGGGGGGGACCTGGTACCAAGAAGAGCGGGGGTGGGGGGAGGGACGGAGTGCGGTAGGGGAAGAGGCGGTAGTAGGGTACCGACTCGTCGAACGTGACGTCCTGGGAGGACAGAACACGTCGAGAGGTGGGGTGGTAAAACTGCCACCCAGGGGCGTCGGGGGGGAACCCCAGGAAGACGCAGGGAGAAGCACGAGGGGACAGCTTGTCCGCAGACAGGTCGCGAACAAACGCCCGAGATCCCCAGACCCGGAACGCCGACGCATCGCCAACCTTCCCCGTCCACAGCAGGGCTGGGGAGGTCTCTGGTCGAGAGACCCTGGGGTGGAGGTTGATCTGGTGCGCAGCGTACCTGACCGCAAACGGCCACAGAAAATGGGGAGCAGCCGCATGCATCATGGACGTATGAGCGACGTCCATGACCATGCCAATGCGGCGCTCAGCGATCCCATTCTGCTGTGGTGAGTCCGGAAGCGTGAAGGTCTGACGGATGCCTCGCGCACGACAGTAGGCACTCAGGAGGCCAGAGGAGAACTCTCCGCCTCTGTCCGAGTGCAGACGCAAAACAGGGAAGTCAGAGCCAAAGCTCCTCCGAAGCTGGAGACGAGCTGCGCGGATCCAGTCGATCAACACCTCAGTGACCTCACCCTTGCTGCGCAAGGGGAAGACTGTGGTGTAACGCGAGTAGTCGTCAACCACCAGCAGGAAGTAGCGCTCCTGACCCTGTCCACGGACGCGGGCTGGGCCCCACACGTCCATGTGAAGCGTCTGCAACGGGGCCTCTGTCGGAGGAAACTGGGAGGAGTGAGGGGCAGCACGCTGGCGCCCCT